CCAGGCCCGGTTGATGGAGTCAGACTTCCCGGCAGCTGCCTTCCCTCCGTGATGGGTGGAAGCTGGGCGGCGTGAGGGATGGGGGAGTGCGATGTGTCGCCATCACCTTTCATCGCCCTTAACTGGAGACAGGGCCTCGGAGCCGCCGCCTGCGCGATAAAGCATCGATAAAGCATCGATAAAGCATCCTGATGGAGGAGGAGGCGGCGGGCGGCGCACCTGTCGGCCAGGCCTGGGCGCCGGACGCCCCGCGCTCCTTAAACACTCCATCACCGCTCTGCACACACAGCCTCTGCGCACCTTAAGGTGCTAGAAGGCAGAGAAGCAGGGTCCCCGGAACAGCGACTGTCACCAGTTCAGCTGCGAGAAGAGCTGGCTGGAGTGGGGGTGGAAAAGGGGTTGGAGGAGGTCCCTGCCTGGGATGACGGTGCTGGGGTTTCAGGGGCTGAGACCACTTTTACTCCAGTTGTGGTTCTGAGCAGGTTTCTCATGAAAGCGGAGCCCTGGGTGCTGGAAGCCCGGCTGCTCAGTGGGCAGAGCTCCGCCGCCTCCGGAAGTTGCCGAGGCCGCCCTGGGACCCGCAGGTCCTGTTCGTGAGCAAGGCCTACGTGGGCGCTCTGCTTCTCAACGGGTTTTCCGTTTTCGCGGCAGCTTTGCCCCTTCAGTATAGAAAGTTCTCCTAATGTTAATAGTGGGATTTTCTTGTTGTAAAACGTGAAGATAATCAAGAAAGCAAATGTCACCCTGGCCGGTGATGCTAAGTAGTTAGAGTGTCAGCCTGCAGACCTCAGGGTTGGGGGACCGATCCCCAGCCCAGTTAGGGCACGTGTGGGAGGCAACCAATCGATGTGTCTCTCTCACATCCATGTTTCTCTCTCTCTCTCGCCCCCTCTCTCCATCCCTTCCACTCTCTCTAAAAATCAATGGAGAAAATATCCTCCGTGAGGATTTAAAAAAAAAAAGACAGCAAATGTCTCCCATAATCTTACTGCTCAGCGATAGATGTTCACGTATAATTAAAAAACAAGACCCGGATGCCTCATGAACTACTGTGTCACATGCTGTTTCTAATCATAAAGATCTCCCCCATCACTCCTTGCTGTGTTGCACTCTACTTCATAGCTGACCCACAAGATAGGAACCGATCTCCTATTGACGTCCTTTTGGGGAGAACATTCTGCAGTGAGCATCCTTGCACATGGGACTGCCTCCCAGCCGGCAGACACCCACCGGGTACCACCGGCCCGCGGACCCCTGAGGGGTCAGGCTCTCGTCCGCGCTGCTTGTTAAATACAAAATGACTGTCACACCCTCAGCTTTGGGCGCCTGGAGCTTCATCTGGATAAATTCTCTAATTGGATGCATTTGCAAAGGACTATGCAATTAAGAACTCTATTTGAGACCAGATAACTGGTTACCTTCTGTGCCTGACAGCATTAAGAGCTAGTAGCAAATGAGCATTTCACTCTATTTCGAAAACTGTAGGTTTTTTTTGGTGTTCATTGTCTCAAAAGTGAGGTCCATAGAAAACAGACGTGTGTGTAACCTTTTTCCAAAATATTCTCATGCTGAAGCACTGGGGGTGACACATTATTAAAACAGTAGCACTGGCCCGGCCGGCGTGGCTCAGTGGTTGAGCGTCGACCTATGAACCAGGAGGTTCGATTCCTGGTCAGGGCACGTGCCCAGGTTGTAGGCTTGATCCCCAGTGTGTGGTGTGCGGGAGGCAGCCGATCCATGATTCTCTCTCATCACTGATCTTTCTATCTCTCTCTCCCTCTCCCTTCCTCTCTAAAATCAATAAAAGTATTTTTAAAACAACAACAACAAAAACCACAGTAGTACTGGCATGCTTTAAGAATGAAAATGTTATTTCTCAGGACGGGATCTCTGCAGTTGGAAGGAGTAGTATAACTGAAGTAAAGCTCCGGCTGTCATAGGAACACATTAAACACCCTCCGCAGGTTTTTCCGACATGTAGGTTGACAGTGAGGTTGGGAAGAGAGAAATAAAGCGAGAGGAGAGTTTGATGCTTCCGGCTTTTCTGCTTTAGAGATGATTTTGTTGAAGGTGCAGAACCGGAAGTGGGCACAGAGGCACCTTGGAAGTGCCTTTTATACAAATTGGCCACCGACAAGTAGTCACCGTGCATCCGACTATTGCCTCAACCAAAGGTAAATCGTTTTCAGAGAGAACCACAACCAGGCCGTGAAGCCACTTTAACTCACAGAACCAGATGGGCTGCACGGGCTGCTCATGTGAGAAGGTGCGCCTGTTACAGAGCTCAGAGGAGTGCGACCTCACATGGCACACAGACGAGGACATCGGCTGAGGGGACTCGCGGAGCAAACCTTACTGAGGAAGGTCTACATGGACGCCCACCACAGTGTTAACCCGGACTGTGTGTGGTCGTGGGCGTCTTTGGGGGGCTGTTTATTGTTTCTACAGCACTGGACATATATTGCTTTTGTAGTAAAAACAAAGAAGTTAAGGTTTTAGTAAGTCTATTTCCATTCCTCTACCTGCAGTCGTGGGATGACCCAAAGGTCCAGATCGGTCCCACTCGTGCTATTTACCCTGTTCCTCCAACAGCCTGACAATAGAGAGACACTCCCACACCCACGGAGACACTCCCACACCCACGGAGACACTCCCACACCCACGGAGACACTCCCACATCCACAGAGACACTCCCACACCAAAAAAAAAAAAAAGTACTGTTACGGGACACCCCACTTGTGGGTTCCGTTCAGAGCAGCCCTTTCTGCCCACGAGTCCCTCCTTCGGCCACGTGGTCAGCCCCGGGGGACTCCTGCTGGCCCTCGGTTTCAGCCCAGCCCCCCAGGTCTCAGCCTCACTCTCTGGTTTCAGATCCGGGGGGGGGGCAGCTCCTTTTATGGGGGCTATGGGGGGGCACCGGGCTGCCTCCTCTTCATTGGGTTTACTGGCACGTTTATCCGCCTTCTTAAGGGCTCTTCGCTGCGCATGCCCAGCGCTGCCTGCCACCGTCTCCCAGTCTCCTCCTGTTCGGCCCACCAGCCCACGCCGGGAGGGGCTGAGGATTTTTCCAGAAGTCGAGGCCAGCCAGAGGGCCCAGTGCTGGTTTCATCCCTAGCGGGCTCTGGATCGCCTCCAGGTGGGCGAAGGCGGCTCCTGCCCCGAGTGCAGAGCTGCTGATGGGCGGTGGTTGCCATGGAGAACACAGGAGCACACCGACCTGCTGCCCGCTAAGCCTCTCGACTAGACTTGCATTGTCCCGGCGCCTGCGGCTGGCTCAGCTTGGACTGACCACCCGCCTGACAGCTTTGAGTGAACAAGAAGCAAGTGTGAGTGACGTCTGTTTTGTCACCGGGGAAGCCAGCCGCACCTCTGAGTAAACAGACGTCACACAGACCCGAGAAGGGGGCCTGGGGCCAGGGCTGCAGCGTTTTCTAAACTTACTGCTGGACTCAGGGAGGAGCTCGGAGAGTCTTCCTCCATGTCCTCGAGCTTTTTGAGAAAGTGTGTGTGTTCTGCGTCACACTTGCTCGGCTCCCTGAGGGGTTTATTTTGCCGGATAAACGGGAGCGCTGGGCGGGGAAGCCATCCTCTCAGGAAACCCGGCTCTGCCGCGTGGACGCGGGACCTGACTCTGAGCCCCGGGCGATGTGTGCGATGGGTGTGAGGTGGGGATCACGGGGATTATGCTGCTGTTTTAAGAATTAAGTCAAAAATCCACAGAGCCCAAGGCGTCTTGCGCTCCGTCTCTGTCAGCTGTGAATTGGGCCGGTGGCCTGACCCCCAATAGACACGGGCTGTGCAACAGCCCCCCACCACCCGCCCAGCAGGAGGCAGGAGAAGCGGTCTTGCTCCCGGAGGCTTGCAAGCCGGGGGACAGTGAGCTGTCGGAGGGGGGGCTATAGGGAATGAGTGACGCTGTTCTAAACATTGCACGTGCCCAGGAGAGCATCCGGGGGGCAGAGGGGGAGGCTGAGGCCTGGGAGCCGGGCTGAAACCGAGGGCCAGCAGGAGCCCCCCGGGGCTGACCACGTGGCCAGAGGAGGAACTCGTGGACAGAAAGGGCTGCTCTGAACGGAACCCAGGAGTGGGATGTCCCGGGAACAGACAAAAATGAAGGGGTGTGGCCTCGGAGGCAGGCGTGTGGAAGAGAGGATGGCTCCGGGCTCGGGAAGGGATCTGTAGCTGTGAGTACAGATGCCCAGCGGGAGAGCTCCCTCTCTTCTGATCCCATCACAGGGAGCAGCGAGGGCCCTCAGATGGCAGGAGCCCCTGGGGACGCCACACAGGGCGAAGGGCTTCAAGAACATGCCCGGCTTGCCCTCTCTTCTGATCCCACCACAGGGAGCAGCGAGGGCCCTCAATGGCAGGAGCCCCTGGGGACACCACACAGGGCGAAGGGCTTCAAGAACATGCCCGGCTTCTCCTTATGCCGTGAGGCAGACAGCTTTCAACGGGAAGGCGGACACCATGTGTCACCGTAGCCATGTGCTCCGGAGAACACTGTAATACCATTTTCTGGAAATTTACATAATTTTATTTAAAAAGGGGTCCCATTTTTAACTAAAAAGATAAAATAAATACACCACTGGAGACAAACTCGGAAAGATGAACTGAACCCTGGGTATTTCTCAAGGAAAGACGCACTTCTGTCCATCGGAAGCAGTTTCCTTCTGTCACCCAGGAATTGCCCATAGCCGGCAGCGGCGGACACTGGCATGGGCCGAGCAGGCGATGCCCGGTGCTGCCCCTCGCACACCAGGCTCTTAAAGCAGGGCTCCGTGCCAAACCCGCGGAGTGAGACAGTCCTTCTGCAGGGCGACACGCTTTCTATTTCCCATTGGAGCTCTGTTTGAGGTTCATCCCAGCCTCGAATTCAAATGCGGACCTTGAAGCCACGCCTAGTCCCGTTCCTCTCAGCGCCAATACAAACCACGCAGTAGCTGCCACTCACACGCCTTAACGGCCCTGCCATGCGATAAGCAAGAATGAGCGCGACTCACTCGTTTCGTTCCAGATTCACGATCAGCTCCTCGCTCTCCAGTTGTATTCGAAAAGTCAGCACCTCTGGGTGATTCTGCAAGACAAACAGGAAGAGTCCGTTGAAAAACATCCCGCGTTGACTTGCCAATATCTGAATCTGCTCCCCAGGCAGAGGCAGCGGAGGGGGAGAAGAACAAGGCTCTTCTGAGACGATTCCAAGAACCCGGCCCCCAGGACAAATCGGGGTGGAAAACTCACCATCGTGCAAGGCACTGACCGGCTGTGGTTCTGACCTTCCCACTCCCTTCCTCCGGCCCCATGCCCCGGGGGCCCTTCCGACTCTACACTCCTTCCCACAACCAGCGCCTTCCTCGGTTTCCCTTCTCCACAAAGGGCGCCTTTCTTTCCCCAGCTGCTCGGGTCCGAAAGGAGAGGTCCTCCCGGAGCACCAGCTCCGTCTTCTCCATCCAAAGGCCCGGTGCTTTGCCGTCCGAAACACACCGCTCACTGTCTGGGTCCCGTGTCCCCCCCACTCCAGCTTGGACCTCAATCACCTCTCACCTGCATGATTGCAAATCCCTGCTGACCGGGTCCGCCCAGACCTGCCTTGGCTTCCTTCCCACTCATTCTCCACCGGAAGCCGAGGGGTGTCTTTAAAAACACAACCGCGCGCTCGCTGGGTAGCTCAGTTGGTGAGAGCACCATCCCCAACACACTAAGTTTTCAGGCCCAATCCCCGGTCAGGGCACATGCAAGAACCAACCAGCGAATGCATAACCCAGGGGAACAACAAATCCATGTTTCTCTCTCTCAAATCAACAAAAAGATAAAATAAAAACACAACCTGATCAGCCCACCCTTGCAAATAAGGCGCCTGCACTCGCATCCCAACCGCACCAAGAGTGAGAGGTCAGCTCGTTCACGTGGCTTCCAGGGCACCCACGGCCTGGCCTCGCCCCTCCACACACACCGCACTCCTCACCCCCTCCCAGCCACCCGGCCTCTCCAGCTCCTCCCACCCACCGAGCCCCTCGGCAGCTCTGAGTCCTTGCACACACCGCCCCCTCTACCTGGATGCCCTCCTCCCACCCCTTCCACTCGAATCCACTAAATGTCAATCATTCAAAGAAGCCTCACGTCTCCCCACCACCACCCCTCCGGTCTGATCACAGCCCCTCCCCACCCCCAGGTGTTCTCCCTCCCAGTCTCCTGTCCTTTCCTCCTCGTAAGAACGAGCTGCCTTCCTACCTGTGGAAGTCAGTGTGCTCATCTGTGGTTCCCCTTGTTTATTATGTCCATGAAGATGCCAGGCAAGTGACAGAAGCTCATAGTACCCGGCGACGGAGGGAATGAGTGACCCGGGCACACAGCTCTACCAACCTCTTCTCCCTCCCCTCTCCTCCGGCCCAGGACGCCCAGGCCACGTGTGCCCATCTGTCAGGGGGAGGCGGGCATCTGTACTCTGTTCTGTCCCAGAAATCCCGCCCCAAGAACATGCCCCTGTGGCAGGTCCCTTAACCTGCATCCCAGGGTTCCCTCCCTGAAACAGGCGTCAAATATTCCCACTCGCTCCTGCTGAGCCAGGTCAGCGATTCAAAGTCCTTGCCCAAGACAACATCCACTGCCACCCCCCGCCCCCCCCGCAACACACACA